AGCATACATTTTTAATGACCTGCCCCATTAGAACATAGCCAATGAATGCTAGACAATCTCTTCACAGACGAGAAGACTGAGAGGAACAGAAATGGGGTTCTACAAAAGAACGCTAAGAATTCTATAAGCAGAGCAAACAATAAACGGAAAAGTTTTGTTTTTTTTTTAATGGCAACAAAAGAACATTTAGAATCAGAAAGAGGTAGCTGAAATTTCTTAGACATATAAATTAAGAAGGGGGTTTGGAAAACAACCTTCACAAGGCATATTGAGGGTAACAGATAGGTAGCTCAATGGCCTCTATGTGACAAGCTTGTATAAATGAATGTCAGTATACTAATAAATCATCAGTTACCTCCCTTTAAGATCTAGGAGGTATAAAAAGCGCCCTATATTATCAGTCAATAGACAAGTAGTCAGAGTGAAGTGCAATAAAGCTTTGGTATAAGTTTATTCACTGGTTCTGTTTTTACTACAGTCAGAACGGGGCAGGAGCCTTAGCAAAAGTAGAAAAACTACAAGGGATAGGAAGTTTTGGAGAGTTATGATCGGTCATGTCTTGAAGAAGTATATTAATTTTAAAGTTTTAATTGCCAGCCATTTGCCTCACTTTTTCTCAAAACGCTAACAGCTGACTTTCCGATTTTTTGTCTTATTTTTTAGTCATTTAGTCCTGTTGTTTGAAATGTCAGAAAAGAGTTTTCCATATTAGTGCATGCATGTCGACATTTGTTTGAGTGTTCCAAAAATTTAAAAAATTTCAATTCCGAATTTTTGCTCAAAACTACGCTTCTCTGAGAAAAAAACCACAGCATTATATGAAAAATAACCATAACGCCTGTTTTCATTTGCAAGCAGCTACAATCTCTGTTTTTTTAATTTTCATAGCAATCTGCTGTTTACATATCGAAATAAAAAAATAAACGCGCTTACCTTCTCGACAAAGCCGTACGCAAACAGAACATAACGAAAGAAATGCGGAAGTTCTTGTGCACAAAAAATACTATCAATTTGATCCATCCAAGTGAAATAAGAATAACAAAAAATCCTTTGGCTCATTTCAGCTTCTCTTGTTACATTTTCCACCTCTTCCACAACTTCTTCCCCACTTTCCACGCATGCGTCACACTCACCAATCACATCACACATTACTCCAGTAAAAATAATTGACAATGCTTCTCAAGATTAGTAATGCATTTTCTTAAGGCACTTTGAGGTGGTTTAATGGTTGTCAAGCTTGTTTTGCTAAATCATTTAACGACTGAGTAATGAGATCGATCTTCACTGGCTGCTCTATACTTTCTTCCCTGTGCTATATCTAAGCTACGCTCAGTAAATTGCGAGTGATGTATTTAATTTTTAAAAAGTTGTTATTTTCATCCCCTAAACAAAAATTGTACTTATGGGGACTAGTTAAGGTAGGGGTTCCCAATCATTTTTGGCCATGCCCTACCTAAGTAACTCTAAAATCTTGATACCCTACCCCGTGACATATAATTCTTACTATTTAAAAAGCGAACTCCTATTCACATGGTAAATTTAGAAATTTTTCCTCGGTACTTCAACTATCCTTTTATACTTTTATTTTTCTCTTTCATGGATGCAATGTTCTTTGAAAACTTGTTTAGATCAAGTTAATCGTCTTTCAGGCTTCCTCCACGAGAATAGTTCAATTTTTGAATAATAAAATTATATGTCACAGTGGGGGGGGACATCAGGATTTTAGAGATGTTTAGGTGAGACATGACCAAAAAAAAGGTTGAGAACCACTGATATAAACTGTACAGAAAATGACCAAAGAGAAGTTGTGAAGTAGTGGTAAAGTCAGTGGGCAGTGACCTAATAATAGAAAGGGATTAATAAAATATGCTGTTGACACAGAACTTAACGACCGCCCTTAGAGGCCTTGAAGCAAACTTCTTCTTCTATGTGCCTTGTACTTTCAGGATGTGGACAACCCGCACTCTCTACAACTTCCTATCCTACCTGGTTCTTAACAATGTTTGTCTTTTTAATCTCTCCCTCCCCTTCACTGTTCTGCCATCAATTTATACAAGCTCGTTTGGTAGGTCACTCGCCGTTTCCTTCTTTCCCTCAATATGTCCTGTGAGTGTCAAATTCTCCAAGCCCCATTTCCCCATTATGTGTCCAAGAAATGTCAACTGTTTCTTTCTGATTCTAAGTATAGACGTCATTTGTGTTTCCATTTTCCGAATAACTTCATCGGTCCTTGCTTATTCAGTCTGTGGTATTCTCAGCATCCTTCTGTAGAACCATATTTCTGCTTGTTCAAGTGTAACACTATTTGGGTTGATGGTAATTAATAATAATAATAACAACTTGGAATATCAATGAAAAGAGATAATGATGAATAACTTAGCATGAAAAGAGTTAAAAAATATAAAGAACGACAGACGGATATACAATAGACCAGATGACCGTCTAAAAACAATGCTCAGTTTGCGCGAACAAGTCAAGTGTTGACAGCCTTCGGCAAACAATGCCTGGATCTGACATGAGAAGAATTGGGTTAAACTAAATGAATTAATTTTGCGGGATGTCGGAATGAAAAAACCATAAATTAAACACCTGCAGAATGGTGACCTTTGACTGAACGAATTGTCACCATAATGGGAGTTGCAAAAATTTCCCTGAGAAAGTGTCTCTTCAGTCAAAAGCGAGAAAACAAATTGTTGTGTCAATTCACTTATGAGCTAATAGCATTTGAAACAATCATTTTTTTTTTTTTTAGCAATCTTCAACCGAATGCTGGAAGTAACAGGCGTAGAAGAGTATTAGGGAGGTTGAAGGAGCTGCTCACGCCCACTGGAAAGCAATAGTGGGAGATGGTAATAAGAGAAAGTAGAAGTAGCCACGTAGACCGATACCTGCACCCATCTCCCATGAGAGGAGAATTCCCCAAAATTATAAATTAATTTAATTTCTCAGGACCAAAAACAATAGACTTTTGTTGGAAATCAGGGAATTCACCGAAACCCAGCCTACATCTTGCCCCACACCGGTTTCTAGTTAGAGTCCATAAAAATGAATGCACGAAAGCCATCCAGGGATTTGCAGTTGCAGTTTAAAGTTGCGAGTTGAAAGTTGAGAGCTGAGAAGGGAAGCGGCGGAGGCCTCTGAGAGATTCCACAATTCCTGCCGAACAGAAGAACCTCCGATTTCAGCCTTGAGTCAAACTTATCAAATCAGTAAAACAAATTTCGCTAACCCTGCAAGACAAAACTTACCAGCTTACCCAAGTGTTGCGTCCGATTTAGGAACGGGTTGGGTTGACAAACACCTGTATCCTAACACAATTTCTAACGAACCATTGTACGCAGTATTGATGTAAAAATAGTAATTATTTTTTATATATATTTCGAGTGCTGTTTTTTATCCAATTTTATTGTACAACTTCACTCGACTTCAGCCCAACACAAAGATACCTGCGACGAATCGATCTTGGCCTCTTTATAATGAAATCAATCAATCACAACGTGAGGTAAGGCAGGTCAGGATCGAAGAGATCACTAAACCAGGATCCACCCCGGATTGACCACGACGAAAGGTTACATTCGTTGCCGTTTGCCGTGAACCAGGATCGACCCTGAAGTGTTAAGTCTCTTCTTCATCTGTTAGGAGAATGTTCATAATTCACTGTTAGAGAGGAGGACTGATATCATATAGCAATTGAGTGTTTGATTTTGGACTGTAGTACAATGATCAAGTAGCTAGTCTCGGAGGTCACTCACTAGATCGTCCTTCACGAAGTCCTCAATATCATCGTCTTGTACCTTACTAAACCAAGCTAACGTAACTATTCCCAAGCACAACGGGTTCAATCCTCAGGGTTTACATCTCGAAAATAAGTCAGGAACTACTTATGTTGCAAACTTTAGGTTTGGTTTGGTTTGTTTTACGGCATATAAACCTCAATGGATTATTTAATGCCGACAAGATTTTTATTGCTGGTAATAATTTTTTCCTTAAAAATGTATTGCTAGTATTTTTTTTTTCCAAAATCTATTGCTGCCAATAATTTTTTTCCAAAAATGTATTATTAGTATTAAAACCTATTTTTACACTTTCATAGTGTTTTGACCCCAGTTTAGGGGTTAACTATTTGCCTATAGCTGGGACCCTAACAGGTGCTACCACCCCGGGTCAGGGTGGACCTGGGAACACCAGCAATTAAGAGGTGGTTCCACGCTCCTCAAAACCTCCTGATCCGAGTCCATGCTGCTGGATGTAGTTTATCGTCTTACCCATGACGACAAACTTTAGTGTTCGTTTCATTTGAGTAATCTAGTGAATAAAAACTACAAAGAAACTGAGACTAACAATTAGAAGACGCTAAAATTTTGGGGACAAAGTGAGGAAGGAGAGCTTAGAGAATTTAACACTCACAGGGAATAACTGAAAACAAGAGAAACGGGTAGAAACAGCAAATAGGGAGCTCGTATGAGTGGATGACAGAACAAGGACAAACAGGGATGGTAAAAGGATGAAAAGTTAATCAAAGCAACAACAAATAGGAAATTGTGGAGAACCATGATCGCCCACATCCTGGAAGGACACTGGGCATAAAAAATGAAATATATAAGAACATCAAGGAAACTTATACTTACAATCAGAAAGAGTTAAAATTTATGGAACACATAATGAGGAAAGAGGGCTAGGAGAATTTGACACTCATAGGATATGGTGAAGAAAAGAGTAGCAGGCGGGAAACAGCGAGTAACGTGCTTAACGTGTCTAAATGAATGGAAGGCAGAATGAGAACAGAGAGGGGGAGAGTAAAATGCCCAAAGTTACTTAGAGCAACAAAATAGGGGAAGTTATAGAGAGTGATGATCGCAAACGTTCTTGGAGGATATGACACATAAGAAGTGTAGAAGATCTTGACAATTAAAGGGTCGGAAATTAAATTTCAAATTGAGAGCTGGTCAATCTGGACATCTTGCTGATTTTGGTAAACTGAAGTATCGTTTTCTTTCCAGGTCATAGCGGTCATTCGGCGAAAAATAGAACAGATGCAATTAGAACATGGTCATCTCGACACAAGACGTCCGTCAAACGCACTTACTCTAGTTGAGAGTACTTCGTTTTCCACTAGAGGGCGTAGCAGCAGTGCGCCTGGAAGCCCAAAACAGGTAAGTATCAATTACTCTTATACAACACGAAAAAATTAAAATCCTATATTTACATTCTGACTATTGTCCTCGTCTTTGTTATTGTTGTTATCACACTGTTTCGGCCATTGTACTCTCCAGCAGTCACAAGGTGCATGTCGATCGGGATAGCCTACAGGGAATTCCGAAATAAACCTTTTTATCTAATCTACGGAGGCTATTAAACCTAGGGAATTAAAGCGTTGGTTCGTGAATTTAGTGCTATTGTAATTATGAGTTCAATCCCTGGTCCGGGTAGTGTGTGCATGAACTCAGTGGAAACGGAGTAAGCAGTAACTGAATAGTACTAAATAATATCTAGACGTGGCTAGCAGAACGAGAACAATCTACCCTCGACGTTGTTTTTACATCATATTCGATATCAAGTTTTTATTTTAATAAACTAAAACACAGAACATTTGCCTTCTAGTCTGTCTATATTTCTGAGATGAGGTATTATGTACATTATTTACATTATTCGGACTATTGTCCTCATCTTTGTCGCCATATTTATCACAACATTTCGGCCGTTGAGGGAAATTAGCAGGAGATAACTGATAACTGACATCCATCAAACATGGCACGTGGAACTAGAACAGTCTACCCCAGTGAGCGAAATAAAGGGTTTACTTCGAAATTCCAACCACCTGAAAAAAGCCGGAGAGTACAACGGCCGAAACGTTGTGATAAATATGGCAACAAATTGAGGACAATAGTTCGAATAATGTAAATAATTTGGCTTCTACATAAAAATATGTAGATATTTATGCGAATTGTGTTTAGTGCAAGTCCCTCAAATTTGGGAACCTAGTGAAAAAAGCAACAGTCTAAGGCAAATGTTCCGTGCATTTTGTATACATAAGCGACTGTTAGGAATAATTTTGGAGTTCATACAAGCATGCCCTAGATTTTGCACGTCAGTCGCAGCATACACAGTGGTTCAAATCTGAGCATACCGCCATTTTTAGCTTCCCTGACAACCTGATATATCTCAATCTCTATTATAATTCTGCTTGCCCCTTCCTTCGTTAGTCTGCACGAGCGTTATTCCCTGCCAATACCTCATAAATAATGGACTATTCCGTTTTGACCGTGAAAATACGGAGCTGACATATCAAAGACGCTACTTGGTTTCAGTGAGAAAAAGAAAGAAAGTGATTGACGTTTGCTTCAGTGAAATGAGAAAAGTTGTCAGTTTCTTTTTTTCATTTATAGTCCCTTATAAATAAATTTATTAATGAAAATGTTTGCAAGACTTGTTTTTGGTTAGTCTTTATTAATATTAAATATAAGGTAGGAAGTCAGCAGTGAGTAAGTGGCCATCGGGCAGTGAGAGATCAACAGTAGCCTAGACAGTGAATGTAAGAGTCCTCTTTCTGTGTCTGGAAGTTAGGGAGATAGCAGGTCACCATCGAAGCCGAAGGAAAACATTAGCGGTTTAGTGAGAATTCGTATTGTTGCTATTTCCCAACCAGACAGTCTTGAAAAACATTTGTCATCATTTTTTATTGAATTCGGTCACGGCCAAGGAGACAAACCTGTGAACATAGCGAGTCGGATGTATATGCAGACACAGCCGACCTTGGATGTCATCACAGTTGTGCAGTGAACGACATGTGGACTACGTCTTCACACACATTATATACATATATATATATATATATATAAACAAACCATATTTTATATCTGAATTTCTGGAATATGCGTACAAATCTCATCTTTGTTGCTATTATCACATAATTAGGGCTAGGTTAGAAATAAATACGATATAAGAGCGGTTAATGAAAGAAAGAAATAAAATTAAAGGGAACTAAAGAAAGAAAGAAAGAAAGAAAGAAAGAAAGGATTCAACAACAGTGGCAGCGGCTGCAGTAGAAAAGAAGCCTTGGTGATTACAGTCAATCGTGACAAACACCACTCATCAGCAGGTAGGTTAGGTTTAAGGCTCCAAGTTCTCCACTTACGATTGTCCTACAGAACAATGGACATAGAAGCAGTGTGGAGAAAGAGTTCAACACCGAATGGCGATATTATGTTTCATGATTGTACAGAATGTTTAGGCCTGAAGATTGCGCTCAAGTATGAAACAAACTGTCGCTATTCAGTGCTGAACACTGTGTCCATACTGTTTGTATTTACATACGCTGTATCCCGAATATTGAAGTTTTACCATATAAAATATAGAATAACTTAAAAGTATATTTTATCTTCACACACACACACATATATATATATATATATATAGATAGAGAGAGAGAGAGAGAGAGAGAGTATTGATAGAAATCCGATAAAATGATAGGATAATGAACAAGTAGGAAATAGATTTTAATCTAACATGTTTCACTTTATTAAAGTTTCGTCAGAGATCAAGATAAAAATGATAAAAAAATGATCTCTGACAAAGCTTTAATAAGTAAAACATGTCAGATTAAGATCTGTTTCCTATTTCTGTCAGAATTTCCTCCTTGCCTGAGAGGTATTATTCATAATATTTGCCTTCAAGAATATTTGCTGCCTAAATATACAGAATATATATATATGCATAAACAAATTACTGAACTCATGGGATAAAGAAAAAAGCTTCAAATAGGCTAGTGGATTAAAGCGTTGGTTTGTGGATTTGGTGACACAGGAATTGCGAGTTCAATCCCTTGATAAGTCAGTGTGTACTTGAACTCCTTGGAAACAGGGCGAACAATAACTGAGCAGAATTAAGCGAGCTGTGGCTAGACATGAACTCCCAAATGGAAATAATTTACCTCTGGAGATTAGATAATGGGTACAGTACGACATTCCCTGAAGGTTACTGGGATTGCTAATCACCTGATGAAGGTCGAAACGTTGTGATAATAAGAACAAAGCTGTAATTAATATGTATATATATGATAAAATGTATTTTAAGCTATGTTATTTTAAAGTGCTAAAGCATATATATATATATATATATATATATATATATATATATATATATATATATATATATATATATATATATATATATATATATATATTTGTGTGTTTGGGTAGTAGCAATCGCTTTCTCAGACATGTTTCATTAAAATATACTTACAAAGTATTCTCGTTTCTTTTTCTTTTTTTTTTGTTTTTTGCGTGATTTTCTTGTATGCGAACAAGAAATTTCTTTTTGAGACTTACTGAATGTAGAAATTGTCCAAATGGATGTTCTTCATTCTAGCCAATCTATTAGCAATTTTCAATGATTTGGGGTTGTGCTATTGTATTTTGTGTGTAAATTGCTGATGAGTAATAAATAGCTAATTGATTAGCCGAAAGCGCTTGGAAAGAACAATTATTGGAACACTTTCTACATTCACTAAGTCCATAAAAAGAAATCTCTTCTTTGCATACAAGAAAAAAATTTAACAGAAGTACCTTTTCAGTCATTTATATATATATATATATATATATATATATATATATATATATACAGAGGTCTGATACGTTGTAGTTTTGTTTTTATAGCAGCAGTCCCAAAATTCTTTGATCAGACCTCGTATATTCGTTTATTCGTTTCTCTCTGTATATTTTTCTATTTCTACAATTTTATCTTCATCTGAAATGTTCAACTCTCACAAAATAAAATTATATGACCGATCTGTACTGATCATAAAAGTCTCATTTACCCTGTAAATCTCACTTCGAACTTTTAGTGAAAGATTTTAAAATCTTTCCCTTTACAACTTTTGGAATATTTAATAATAATTATAAAATTTACTAAAAATTCAATAGTTAAACCGCGACTCCATTAATATTTTTTCATATCTATTTAGATTTTATTTGTTAAAAAAAATCTTGTTATTTACAGAATGGAATTGAAACGGAAGCCATGTTGCAGAGCATCTCTTGACCAATGCCTGTAAAAGGCAGCCTCTAACCAGCAGAACAGTCATCTGCAGTTGGTCATATTTCTGGTGTTGTGTCATCCTACGGATACATGAACATTGTCACTAGAATTTTATATTTATTTAAATACGTTGTATTCCTGTTTGTTGTCTTCAGCCTGTCTGTACACAAGAGGAAAAAAATGAAACCCGATGTAGATTTCAGGGCTGGGTACCAATTTCATTTGTTTCATGTGTTAACTAAAAGTGCCAAAAAACTGAAGCATAAAATGATCAAATGATAAAACAGCTTTTGTGTCAGCTAAGCAGTGAAACATGGATAATGAATACCAGCTCTGTGCCATCATTCTGGAGGTACAGGAGGTAGACATAAATATAAAACGTTACCTCTTCCCCATAATAAATGTTACATTTTGTGGATGAAATGTGCATGTAAATGTAACAGTTATTGTGAGAAAGGGTTTTAATTTATTTTTTTATTCGAAACTGTTCGAGATCTTTGAGCAACTAATTCAAAATGAACACCAACGAATTTTTTTCTTTTAATCTGTATCATAAACAAACTAATTGTACACTTGTGGACATGAACAAAATGTAATTATACATATATTAATATAAACGTTGTATTCAGTGGGTACACGGGTTTCAGTAGGCATTCCTTTTTTTTTAATGAAATTAATGTCTACTGGCCTAGAGGTCGAGAGTATAAACTGTATTCTATTTTTCCATAAGAAAAAAGAAAGAAGGGTGTTACATTTCTTTAGTAGGCATCTCAATCTCTCCACCAGGAGACATTAATTTCAGTTACAAAAACTGTGATGTTCACTCAAACACGTGTACCTACTAAACAAAGTTTATAGTAATAAGAAGTATTGTTGTATTAATATATAAAGGTATTCTCATGGAATTTAGCCAAACTGACATTAACCTTGTTGCCCAAGAATATATTTAAAACTCATATAAAAGCGAATTCAGTTTTTATAAAATACACTTTGAAAATAAATTTGGGGAATATTTTAATGCAAAATTATTTTCATTTAATATATTAAAACCAGAAATCTGTTTGAAAAAATATTTTCATTCAAAAGAAATCATTGAAAAATTAGTACGAATAGAATTTGAATGTCTGATATATCAGCATTTAAAAAAACAAATACAAAGATTCAACTACCGTATTTGATGGCATATAAGATGCACGGGTGTATACGCCGCACCCCAATTTCAGCAGGGCAAATCAAGAAAAAATTATCAATTAGTAAAAGTATTAGTAAATGGTACAGCTTAGGTTATATTTATGAGGCATTATTTTGGTTAAACAAGCCATGATTACAACTAAACGAAAAATAATAATAAAAAAATGACACAAACCTATAAAAACTTGATTATATTCAAAGGTAAGTAAACAAAATAAAAATCAAGCAATTATTACAATTAAGCAAAAACAGTACAGTTACCATTAAAATTTTATTCAGCTTCAAATCCATAAACTCGTCTTCGTTATCAAAACTCTGATACTCATTTTCAATACTACTATCATGGAATAATTTGCATATAAACATTCTGATTGTATTTATACCAATGCAACCGGAAGTTATCGCAAGAAAAATATTAATGAAACAAATATATTTTGCAAATATATAATTTGAATTTATTGCATATAATTTTAGTGAAACAAAATACTAATATTAAACGTGATGAAATTAATGAATATTATCAATGATAACACTTTTAATCTGCATAACAGCCTTTTAAATAATGGCAATAGGTATATGAAAGTTACTGTAAAGTCTAAGCTAATAGGAGTTGCCAGGTAGCTAATTTCGGCCGACTATCACGAATTTTAATCCTGCATATGGCATATAAGACGCAGGGGAATTTTAAAAGATATTTTAGTAAAAAAAAAGTAGGCCTTATATGCCGTCAAATACGGTAATTACTGAAACTTAAAACATTCTTCATTACATCAATGATTTAAGTTATTTATTAAAATGTTAAAAATAAAATAAAAACAAACTTCGAGGAAATATTTTTATTTTGTATCTCTTCACCCTACTAAAACCTCAGTAAATTGTTACTTAATCATGAATAAGTGATATATTTTAAAACGTAATTCCCTGAAATATTTTAATCTATTTTTTTGGTGAAATTTCGTTGGCGTCTGAAATTATGCCCTAAATTGGCCAATTTAGTTATTTAAAACTGAAAAATGACGTGAAATATTCCGGTGCTTGAAAACTTTTACTTTTCTTTGTTAAATTATATTGGAGACTTTCTCTCTGAATTTCTGGGATGAGGAGTTATCATTATTTACATTCGGACTATTGTCTTTTTTTTTCTTTTTCTTTTTGCTATTATCACAACGTTTCGACCGTTGTGCTATCCAGCTTCCATCAGGTGTTTGTCTATGCAGTTAACTCTTTAGAGAGTTTCGAATTAAACCCTTTATTTAATCTACAGGATTAAATTGTTCTCATTCCGGTGTCCATGTCTTGGGATATCTTGTCCAGTTCTTATTTAGTTCAATTATTGCTTGTCCTGTTTCCACTTAATCCCTGCACTAACCAGCCCACAGATTGAACTCGCATTTACTATATCACCAACTTTACGAATAAATGCTTTAACCTATTTGGCTAAAGATTACCTGCATCAACAAGAGCCTGATGAAGACAGGGCGGTACATCAATCGAAACGTTTTAATAACAACAAATATGGGGACAATAGTCCGAGTATACATAATGTAAATATATTGGAGACGTTTGATAACACATTTTTATAAAAGTTTTATCTGATTCTTTGAAATTTGAAATTAAATTTTTGTTTTATTCTTTATGATTTTGATCGTCCATGTAATCTTATTAAATAATAACACTGTTTTATTCACCTGAAAATAAAAGGTATTCATCAGACACTCGCTGTATTTTTCATAGATTCTTTTTCTTAACGACTTTGTAAGTTACCATGGAGGCTCCGTTATACAATAACCAGACCCTATTTCCTTGGAGACTTACAGCTTGTCGATGGAACTGTTAAGATATCCGTTGGCTGCTTTGCTAATGACAAATGTTTTTAATTTCATTAGGTTGTTCGGAAAATAATGTCCGATTTTAGAATCAACTTTTATTCCCAAATTAATGTATTTAAACAGTGTTTAATTCAGTTAAAATAGGAATTATTGAACGTCAATACATTTCTGCCATCGAGTTACGAGGTTATTCACGTTTTAACGATAAAGCTCTAACAGCTTGGGTACCAAGAAATCTTTGAATGCATTTTCTACTTTTTCTTCTCAACGGACTGTCTATGAGCTTAAAAATTGTCAAAAGGCTAGAAAAAGTGTTAGTGTACGAGCGTTCAGGTAAAGTCCCGTAACCAAAGTTGGTGAGCTTCAGCAGTGACACCAATATGTGACCGAGAATTATCATGAAACAGAATTAGACCGCTACGACTAACTAGTGATGGTCGCATTTTGCTTAACTAAATGAGCATTTTACCCAGTTGCTGGCAGTAAACTTCGGCGGTGATGCTCTGGTTAGATTCCAGAAAGCTGTAATGGATAACGCCAGTTGCAGACAATAAGATAGCAACCATAATCTTCTGTTGTTGCAATTTCAGCTTTGAAAAGTGTTTGAGCGCTTCGTCCTCGGTCAAGCCTTTCAGTCGATCGTTTACGATTGTCGTAAAGGATCCATTTCTCATCACAAGTCACTATTCGATCAAGAAATGACTCATTCGAATTTCGCAGTTGCAGTATTGGACACTTCAAAACGCTCAACTTTTCGACCTTTTCTCGAGTTTATGTGGAACACATTTATCGAGTTTCTTCGCCTTGCCGATTTTCTTAAGATGATCCGTTATTGTTGAAATGCCGGCAACAATTATCTGAGACATTTTTACAGACAGTTTGAAATGGATTTAGTTCGACTATTGTTTTCCCATGTTTATTGTCAATTGCAGATGGACGTCCTCTACCACACTGATTTTCAAAACTCGTATCCCCACTGTGAAACTTTAGAAACCAGCACCGTACAGTCTATTTATAAGTGAATCATTCACCCCGTGCTTTGAGTATCAGTTCGAGAAGAATTATGACCACGCAAAAGAATTAAACGCATCTCTTTTAATGTTCAAGATGAGGGATGTATATTTTAAATTAAATTCTGAAAGAGATTGATATAAAATTAACAACGAGGACACTTTAATCATTAGGAATGAGCAATAAATGCAACTATTATAATATATTAGAACACAATTAAAAGTTTTATTCTAACACTGGACATTATTTTCCGAACAATCTGATGTCTTTTTTGACAATCGTCTTATGGAACTGAGAAGCATTATCTGCAGTTGCTACCTGTCAAATGTCTGTGGGAATACCTAATATATCTATGGAAAATAAAATTATATATAAAGTAAATATACAAATATGGATGTATCGTCAGTGGTAGTACCTTTGCAGCAAAGCGGTCGACACGGCTTTACTCAGCTGAATTGGGATGCAGAACTGTACTGGTCCACGGTCTGCATCCAATTCTCACACATGGCTCCAAGAAGTCGCTTGCGACGGCCACACCTTGGTCAACGGCATCGATCTACCGGCTAAACTGTGTGAAGGTAGTCCGAAGGGTTTCCCGGCCGGTGAAGAGGAACGCTTCTCCCCAACCTACTTGTGCCAAGCGGCCATCGACCAATCGCCAGCCTGAGCGTAGGAGCTGCGCCTGAGGTTAACAGCTTTACCAGTAGGTGGAGGAACTTCTGAAAGGAGGGACGGGACAACCTTAACATCCCTAGTGCAAAAGGAACCAGAAAGCCATTGCATTATTCTGTCTTGAATGTCACCGTGAACCACAATTGTGAAGTGGTGGAGAGTCGTGACCACAGCGGTGGAAAATGCGCTAACTGAATGAATGATGAAATATATAAAATGATATAATTTTTTAAACTTCTCTCTGCTCTTTTCCGCATTCTTTTTTTTTCAAACTTTGACCCGTTCAGTCGCTTCATAAATCTTGAAATCCGTTGAAAAAGAAAAAAAGGTCTTTTAGTGATACATATATGCATAGTTTTACCCAAATAAGCTCAATAAAAATTTCTGATACGAAGATCAAATTATAAACATGATGAAACAAAGTTAACTTTCCAGGTAGAATATTTCATGAGGTTAACGATAAATCCTACATTCTGCATTTAGGATATAAGTTATCGTTAATAAATGACGATACATTATACATATTCGACGAGTGTTTCAATTGTTAGTCGTATACTAGTCGTTCTAAAGCAAGAAACCAACGAGATAAGGTCAATCGCATTTAAAGGTTCAAATACCACAAGGCTGATTGTAAGAGCGCAATTATATCCTTGACATACGACAGTAACATTTGAGGGGGAGAAGTTCAGAAATATAACATGTTTTAATATTACCTTTTGGGGGGTCAAAATAATACGCACATATGCTATGAATTCACACAGACACATACATACAAAACAGAGGTACATATATTCACACGACGCATATTTATACATACATACACCATGCCTATTGTACATTGAGAAATAGCAAGCTAATCTGGCAAAACATCTATTCCTCAATGGGCACGCTATTATTGTGGCCCTGTGACATACTATGCAGTGCATGCACATACGAAACCCAAATGTACATACATGTCCAATGATAATGGTGAAAAATTCGGCATGCATTGACCGAAAAGATAGCGTTACTCTTTGTTTAAGCTTATAAATTCTTTTTCGAAAAACAGTTTTTCAGGAAATTCGACTTGTCAACTCCACTGTTATTGCTCTTTCAAGTATTGAAGGAAGTTTCCTTTCTAACCTTTTGTCTAAGGTAGTGTGGAAAGTTAACTTCTTGATTTTGCCATTATTTTTCCTTCTAGTTACATGTACTATTCATTTTAGTTGGCGCTTTTAGAAATCAAGTGAAGCAGTTTTTGTTATTTGGTAAAATTCTTTGT